CTCTTGATTTTTTCTCTTTTTTCCAAGTGAATCCTGAAGACACAGTTATTCTTGTAATTAAAGTCCAAAAAGCCAAATCAGGGTGGCCTCTTGAAGCACTAAAAGGAAAATGTTTATCCTTGTGTTTGTACATGGAACAGAGAAAGGACAGAGACCCAAGAACTTTTGTTAGCAGCAAATGAAACTGATTGCATATTTTCATCACTAAAACTTTCACTAGGAGTAAGTAGTTAAGGTTTCGCTGGGTAGTTTTTCTGAAAATTATCTAGCTGCTCTAAGTGAGACAGCGTGGTATACTCTGCCTCAGGAGAACTCCTAAGGTAAGTGTCTGAGTCACACTGATGGGAAGAAAAAAGGGATTCTTAAAGCACAAGAAGAAATTTAATTAGTAATGCAGAGCCGTTGTAGTGACAATAAGAGAAATCATTTTAACGCTGGCAGGAGAATGTTTTGCTGAAGCTTCACAGATATGATTTTCTCCTCTGGTGAAGCCTGGCAGGACGGTGGCAGTAAGAGGTGTCTGGCTCTCAGCGTTGAATCCTGCAGTGTGAACACACTGCATGCTGATCTGCCTTACTACACAGTAGAGCTTGTCAAATATCGAATACACTCAGAGCAAAGACACTTGCTCTCCACTCTGAGCAGAAGGGTGGACATAAACTCTTGGCTCCTTTTCACAGACTGGGATGGAATTTTTGCTACGGCACAAATTCTGAAGTGTTTTTCACAATCTGAAGTGTTTTCCACAATCTCCTGTCTATTAAAACATGGGGGTAAGGTCGAGGTGAGTCTAATTTATCACTGAATAATTTGTAGGAAAAAAAATACTTTTAATTTCTGCTATTATAAATAGCCATGCAGTGTCAAACCTCCATGGATTGCATTTTATACACTACTACACAGGCATTACACTTTGTCACTAACTACAGCAACAAAGCATTTATCAATTAATTTAGATTTCCACAAATAAAAATCTCAGGTACAGTAATTTCTATGATTAAAACAACTACCTGGATTTTTACTCCTCTGTTGTGCTGAATTACTTATATAAGGATTGTCATATTCGGCCCACAGTCTTCCCAGATTTTCAGGTTTAGTATCATCTGTGTTTTTGCAATACAGAGTAAGCTTAACTCTAATGCTAATAGTGAAAGAAATCCTCCAAAAAACAAATGGGTTATGGCCACTTTGCCATCCTGAACCTGTGATTAAGGCAGCTGTCAGAACGAGATGCACTTGCTTCCATGGAAATAATCTTTTTACAGCTGTTGATTCTGAAGCTGAATGAAGTTACTAAGAGAAAGTGTGGTGTCCACTGAGGTGGTCTCATTCCTCAGCTGACATTCTTGCTTGAGAAAAAGAGCAGTTGAAAGGAAATAAATGACCAATTATAGGGAAAGCTAAGGTTAAGGAAAGTCAAAGAATCTCAAGATAGGAATAGGGACTTAAATACTTTTCTTAGTAAGAAAAAGAGGAGTAACAATATTGCTAAAATTGAATGCCATTCCCTAAGATACAAGGGTTTTAAATTTTTGTTAGTGGGAATAATTTTATCCATCTCTTCTGTTTCTGCGACAGAATGAACAGTGAGACGCCTGATTCTTATTGCTGTTAATTGGTAAAGCTCCATGGAGAGAAGCATAATTTTGACTATATCTTTTGGGCTATGAGACAGAGAAAATCCCCTTTCCCCCACTCCACAGAATCAGTCAGCTCCTCCCTGAGGCGATCTCCTCCCTCAGCAGTACAGTTCCTCTGCTCATGCTTTTTATCTTGCATTTGATAACTTTGCTTGAGAGGGATGCAAAGGAGATTATGATGGGTAACTGACAGGCAAAACATCAGAAGCAAGCTTTGAAAAATACACATTTTCAAAGTCAGTGTGGTGGGTTTACTTTTAAATGCCTCTTACATATTTTATATAGATACCTGGAAGGAGCATTTTTTCATTACAATTCTATAATTATAATACGGTATTAAAGACCATCTTCCTTCCCTAGGCAAAATTCTGAGTTGCAGATGATCTGCTAGAATGAGGTGTGCTACATTTGGCTTTTATCATGCAATAATTTAGGCAGCAAAATACAAAAAGCCTATAATGAAACGTTACACAAAAAGGACAAAGAATTTAAGGTGACAAAACCAGGAAATATATAATACACCATGTGTCATGCTGCTGCAGCTGTTTCACCTCTTACCAATTTTCACAGTCTATAAAATCTTGGAAAGCACCAGATGTTTAGGGAAGTTGTCCCACTCTTCCTAGCTTTGAAAGTAGAGGCAAGATTTATTATTGCTATATATATGTGGTTTCAGTCCTGACTTCTATATTTATAAACTAGGTGAAACACACAACACATCCAGTTGTCAAACAGTCCATTTACTTTCCTCTGCTACTCTTCACGTGCAGATCTTGCCTATTGCTGGGTCCAGCAATTTTGTCCATTACTGTAACTACAGAACAATATCAAGACATGCAGTCCAAACCACAGGACTTAGCCACTGCCAAACATATCTGAAAGTTTTCTCCTAGTACCAGCTTCTGTCAAAACAACCTTGCAATGCACAGATTATGAGCTAAGCAAAACTGTCTTGTGTATGAATATGCACTAACATTTGGGATTCCTGCCTAGGCAGAGACTGCTAATGCACAAAATTATTTTTTTTCTTTCTTTTTTTTTTTTTCCACTAGTACATGGTTCCTAGTATTGGAACAAGGATAAAAACTGCTCATGCGTAATTTCCAATCTTTCATAGCTCAGCGGTGCTGTAAAATGCTGCTGTTCGTTTTAATTCAGTGAGAAGAAGTTTTGTTGTGTTTACCACTAAGGGAATTGCATGTGTTATTAGAAAGCCTCTGACAGCTGTCAGAGACAGAGACAACTTGCCTTATTTCAGTCTTTCATAAAGGAAGGACCCTCACCTTCAGCAAAGCTGTCAGAGGCCTGAAAAATGGGATAAAACAGAATATCTTTTCCAAACATATGAAATTCTCTGTATCTCCTGTATTTCTGTATTTTCTTCCTCAAAAAGTTACAGAGGGAAAGTTGTATATTTAGAAGAAGGAGGAAATATGATTTGATATATTTGTATTGTACACTGCCTTGTCATCACTGACCTGCAGGGAAAATTGCATAGTAGCCTGCCTGACATGATATTTAATAAATTAGCACTATGTTTTAACATAACATACAAGCTTTCATGCAGTTTTTATTTTCTGAGAGCGAGAAAAATCAAAACCAGAGAGACATTGATGAAGACAAGGGCTTTTCAGCAAAGACTCTGAAAGTCTGAATCTGTAAACATTTCCACACTTTCCAACACGTCTCACCATGCCCGGGACTCTCACTGAATTTAAAGCAGCAGAGAAGGAAATCTTCTTAACACCTCAAACCTTAACTTCCAGCTCTTGATTTAAAGAGCTGCTTGCCTTAATAAAAACTCTATTGTTTATTTTAGTTCAAATGTTTGGGGGATAATTTCTTAAAAGCCTACTTTGTTTTTTAAATCACAATTAGTGACATTTCAGCACTTACTTATTATTCAGTGACAGGGAAAGTAGCTTATGCAGTGTCCTTAATAGGTTAGCATTGTTTTCCCATCAGCTGCTACTTAGCTTTCTGATGATGATCAGATTCTCCTTCTTACTTCAGTAATCCCACGGGTATCCCTCTATACAGCACTGTTTCTGATGTCAACTCCTCTAACCAGTGCAAGAGACTGGGAAGGCAAGTGTATCTGCATCATTTGTTTAATACTGTTGTTTGCATGCTATTTTTATAGCACGCTCAATGCTCGTTTTCACTTTTCATACTCTGATTCATTTTTCATCCTGTTCTCTTCTCCCTATGCATCTTGCACTGCTGAGTAAAGCAAAAATCCATGAATGAGTCAGAGTCAAATTTTCAAAGTCACATTGGTCAGTGGGGTTTGAAATTAAGCAGAATGAGATTGCTTATGTTTTACCTTTCCAAAAATAGAAAATAAATTCCCTTTCTTCAGCTGCAATAAAGGAAGTTTTATTCCATTTTTTCCAGCTGCATTTATTTTTCTGAAATCTAGTCTAGACTATGACACTCATTAGTGTCTAGGCTAACTAGCTGTTCCATTCCTTCCATATTATCATCAGCCTTGTCTACTTGTCATCCTGTCCTATAACCAAAAGCACCTTAAAAGTAATGGTTCTTGTTATATGTTACTCTTCTGGGAGGTTTTTATTTTTTGGTTGTGGGTTTTGGCCTTGTTTTTAATTGGTTGGGGTTTGTTTTTTGTTTGGTTTTTTTTTAATATTTTTTTTTGCTTTTTTTTTTTGCTTTGTTTTGCTACAGGGTAGCTGAATGACTCCTTAAGGGATGTTTCTTTCTTTTTTTTATTCTTAGTTTATTTGAGTAAAGAATTATGTGAATAAACTGTGGGAGCAGTTTTTCTTAAGTAGGTATTATATGCTCCATTCTGACATTGGGTTGCACATTTGGTACTTTCTATTCAGTATACTGGAAGGGAGATATTAGCATATTTTAAGCAAGAATGAGGAATTAATAATTTCTCATATATGCTACTTTTAAAGCTTTTTGTCTGTGGACTACCAGAATTAAGAACAGCAGCTGTTGTGATTTAGGTTGACTGGATGTTATACAATCTTCTCATCTTGCAAGAGCCTAGTTTTCAGTTGTAATACATACTATTTCTGCCATGTTAAGCTTGTTATCAAATCCTCAGCCAAATCTTTCTCAATATTTCACATAGCATGTAATAATTCAGCTCAGGAGCTGTAACACCACATCATTCCTTTGGAAATATGATATGTGAAACGTGACTGGCTTAGGGCAGGGCGAGCAGTCATTTCTTACTGCAAGCCATGAAGTTCAATTAGAAAGTGAGCTGCACCTGCAGTTGCTTCACTCTGAATATTGACCAAGAGTGTCTTCTAACCTCACAGAACCCTGCAGAGATTTGATATTACCAGAGTTTCCTTCCACTAATATTTAAACTCTTCTTACCTATGAACAGATTCCACTCAGTATCCAAATCAGCCTGATTTGCTAGGCAGCCCTTCATTACATTGAGGCAATAGTTGTTGCAAGGTTTCACAGTGGGAAGTCCTCTGCAGTAAGGGCAGTACAACATCTTCATTAACGCCCGGATGCACCCTGGGGTGGGACTGACCTGCAGAGTGTAAGGCAGGGAAAGAAAAAGAAAAAGGAGGAAATCAATCTCCTGTTCTGTGAATTTCGGGATGGCTGAGATTATGCCTCTCAAGCAGTAAGTGCAGAAGGGGCAATTTGTGAAAAGAGCTCAACCCTCAATAACACCCTCCTGTAAAACTAATTGATTCCTGACAATTATCTTCATTTAGCCCAGCAGCGACTTTCAGGAATGCAAAAAATCAACACTCCCCTACTGATAGCAGTGCTTGCCTCCCCAGCCCTCCCACACAAAATCTCCTGGAAAAGCAGAGGAAAAACATCCAGGGAATCAGCTGGGTAGTAGCAGACTGATCCTAGCATGGAGGATCCTGAGGAGACTTCTTACTCTTCCTATGTAAGCTAGAACTGTCAGTCACACCAGCAGTGGATTAAAATCTCTTTATTAAAGCACAGTAAATCCAGGATAATCTTGAAGGTTTCTATAAATTTATTCAGAACTACATGATGACAAAGGGATACCATTCTGTTTTCAGACAAAAATACCCTTCTCTCTTCTCAGAAAAATTCATAAAGAGATCAGACAGGGTTTGTTTGGGTTTTTGGTTTTTTTGTATACTTTTAACATCTCAAGTGACAAAAAGCATTATAGACAATCTATTGCATTTCAATGTTCACCTCAGCATGACACATGTCTGCATATGTGAACTTCTGTATTTAATTATCTAATCTAAGACTTTAAAAGTCAAATGTGCTAGTAAAATATACATTTTCATGCCAGAGTTTCTAACTTGGATTAAAAGTGCACACTAGGTACTCGTCACATCAGCATACTGTCACGGTGCAGTGAAGCACAAGTGTCTCATGCTGGAGTGACAATCTGGAGCAATGACAAAGAGCTGCAGGTTCCTCAGTGATTTCAAAATTCCTGGACAGGAGACTGCAAAGCAATGGCACTCCTTTCACTCAGCCTGTTGGTTTATGAATAGACGCAACATTACTGATATGAATTTCAAGGGATTAAACTATTTTTCCATAATCATGGTAACTTGTGCTGAATGCATTAATCTAACTTTGCACTATAGTGGTACAGGCTGAACTGATTGATGTAATTTGTATTATCAGGATTGTACTAAATTTTCCCCTGGAATTTGTTTCTCCCTTTTTGATGTTAAATCACTGATTTTTAGAGAACTATACAGCACATAGTCTTTACACAGGACATTTTAAAATTAAAATGGTTCTGAGATATAGCATATGCTTCTGAATATGCTCAGAAGGGATTTTTGCTTTAGTTTCCTAGAGCAATGCACTTTACTAGCAGAACACTGATGGTATGTGTAAAGGTATATTTATCTATCCTTTTCCAATAGCTTTTGGACCGTCAGCCAGTTTCAATCAAATTTAACTGAACACTTCAGGTCTCAGTACATTAAGATCTACATGTTTTTTCTTTTAAATAGACAGCTGAGAGAAATAGAGGAGAGAGGTTCTATTATTGCCTTTACTTAGGAAAAAGGTGAAGCATGAGGTCAGCTCCTCATAGATATCAAAGAATCCACATTGCAAATGATGCTATGAATGACCCATTGGTTAGAAAAAGCACAAGGGGAAACTTCTACCTTATTGAACAGAAGAAAATCCGAATTAAAAAAAAGGTGGACTGTATTATTTTCACTGCTCAGAACTACATTTTAGACTCACTTATCCAACTGCTATATACCTCCAAACCTAGAATAGGTCAATTTTTACAAAAGGACTAGCACCAAAGAAGGAAGTAAGCAGAATACGTATATTTACAATCAACAATAGAATCTTCAAATTTACATTGAAATTGTTGCTTAAAGCCAGAGCTATTTCCATCTGTGAGTACTGAGAGTTTTATCAGCTAGGTTCCTTTCATAACTTAAAGTTATGCTTCTTCCCAGTTCCAACAGTCTCATTAATGCCAGCACCTAGTTGACACCTAAATTCAGCTGGAATCCACATGTTTTCCCATCCACACCTTCCCAAATCCACTTTGGTACTTGTGCTGACATATACCAATAAGATCTTGATCTTACAAAAAACTTTCTGTCAATTCTTGAAAACCATATCTAAAAGAGAGAAAGCAGTCCCTGTCTTTATCTTATGTATTACCTCTCCTATATTGTCTTAATGCAAAAGAAATACCATCAATATTTATGTGAGCCTTATTTTATAACAAGAGCAATCTGAGAGGAAACTAGCTATCATGCTTTACTCTGCCAGAAATCCAGATCATGTCCCAGATCTGCTAGGACAGGACTCTAAAGGCCAGTTAGAGTATCTATTTACTCTACCCTGTGAAAATTACCCTGGGAATCTTCAGTTTTCACATTACACTACTGCTTTAACAGAGTACTTCTGGTCACACTCCACTGTGAAGTAGTCAGGATAACTTCCAACCACTCAAAAAGAATGAGTAGGACCCAGGTATCTCATATCTTGCCTGAGTGTCTTAATATGTCTCATACAAAATGGTGGCATCATTAACAGCATTTTACAAGAAAGAAAGGTGCTCTGCTTATATTAGGAGTGAAGTATGTTTTTTAAGAGACGAATCCAAGAGGTGGGTCCAAGCAAAGAGCAGATGGAGAAGGTTTCTACAGAAGCCTGTCTTGTTATTTATATCTGTGTTTGACTTATCTACGTCATTTTCTGACAAAGACTAAAACAAGAAGATCCTTGCTGATCAAGCTGGATGTTGCAGAACTTGGTTTCAGAATATGCTACACTGGTACATGAAATACAAGCACAGATGAATTGCTGTGCCTGCTGGCTGACATTCACTTTGCTTACTGCTTGCACCTTCTGCTCCAAGCTGGCCACATCCCATACTACCACATCGTATTGGCACTGCACCTCCTCTGGGTTCCACTTAGTGCCTGAGTGACTAAAATACACAATTATTACTTTGTGTGGTTATTTTTCAGCTCAAAGTGTTTGGAATAATAGGACTCAGTAATGCAGGCAATGGGAATAAAAGGAAGCTAAATATAATGAGGTTTCATAGTGCTTAGACTATACTCTGCTCAGCATTGAAAGAAGGGAGGGGGCCACAACAAGGCAAATAGCTTCATGCAGGTTTCTGGAGGCAGTGTCTATCCTGCCAAAAGTATATTGCATGGGGACACGGGTGAAGAGGTCCAAAACACATCTGTGAGGAGGGCTGACAATTAAGCTGTGACTTAGGCAAGAGATAAGTCCCGTTCTCAATCCTGCTCCATATTCACTTGTCACTTAGCAGATCTGATGTGCCTTTAGGTATACAAATTGTGGCTCAGGGAAATATTACCAATGGCACAGCTACTTTAGAAGTCTGAAGGCTAAAAGTTAAATACTGTATTACAGCAGTCAGGTGCTTTTCTGAACCTAGTATTAAGTGAGCAGCTAGATTTCAGTTCTCGGCTTCAGCTGTTTTTTCTGTAGCTTTCTTTTCAAAGAATTTTTTCTTCCCTCAACAACAGCAGACTTATCTCTCATGCAAAAAAATAGTCAAATTTTGGTTTAAGATTCTGAAATCTTAGTAAGAACCCAAATATAAAAAGAATCCAGCTTAGACTGTGAATATTTCAGAAAGTTATGAGCTCATGAAATCTGGAGATTACCACAGAAAGTTGATTTTTAACCACCTTCTTGCTGCTGGAAAATGCTTTGAAATGCATTTTGAAACCTCATTTCTCATTTACACCTTAAAAAAGGAATAATATTCAGAGTGTCTCACACCTAGGTACTTTTTTGCAGATCAGCCAAAAAGCAGATACCAATTTCATTCAGAGGTATTCAAAACCTCAAAACCTGCATTTCCTGAGGAGAGTGGTTCCTCAGCTCAGGAATTTCAATGCTTTTTCTATAAGTATTATTTGTGGATGGGTACAACTTGATTTTTTTCTCTTTTTTGTCTTTGCAAGCACATTGCAATTGACTCTACAAAATTGAAGCAGAGAAATTTGCATAGACCTCAAAGTTTAGAAATAACTGGTTCCTACGCAAATTGTATAAATCAGTCAGATCACACTGAATGACATAACTGGGGAAACTGCTATAGAGGAGCATTAATTACAGCCTGCTGTCTCCCTGACTGACTAGGACAGCTCATTTTAGCGTAAGCATACTTGGAATACACCACATCAGAAAAGTGCCTTTCTGAGCTTTGATTGAGCCTAGTAGCTTCAGGACATGTTACATTACTGCATTTTGTAACATTTTCTGACAGCTTCAGCTTTACCTAAATGCATGTTTTTGCATACATGCAAAACCCCCCAAAAGCAATATTCTTAAGGGCTTCATTACTGAACACTTATTTTCCCCCTTCAGAAAGTCTAGGAGGAATATTATTTCATCTAGAAGACAGATTTTGCAATGGTGAACTTGCAAATATAAATAATTGAGGAGAGAATTTATTTGGGTAAAAGCCAGGAAATTTTACTCTTCTAACACTGCATTTGCAGACTGATTTGTTATGTATTTGACCTGTTTTTATAATCAAAATCTTTGACTTTGTCAGGTATATGAACACAAATCTTTTTTTCTTCTAATACAAAAATCAGAGAAACTGATTAAACAACTGGGTACCGCCAGAAGGATCAAATATATTGAGACATGGTTTCTCTTTTATTTACTGGAGATTTCTTACCAAAGTAGCTGGTATACGTTGTCTGGAAATAAGGTAGGAGTGTTCTTCCAAAGTTATATTAAATGCACCTAAAGTCACAGAGTAAGTCCATACACATACTTAGGCCCAGATCCTGTCGTTTTTTGGCATAAAATAGAATTTATCAAATCTGAGCAAAATCAATCACTGCTGAGACCACATCAGGGGACACACATATTTCCTACATTTCCTGCGCACCCAAAGGAAATCCTCCCATTTGGAACCACAGACCACTTCCTTGGGGAGCCTGTTCCAGTGCCCAAACACCCTCTGTGTTAAGAAGGTAAATGTAAACCTCCCCTGACAGAATTTGAGGCCATTCCCTCAGTCCTGTCACTGATCACCGC